GCTTGTAAGCGCGTTATGCAATTTGGCAAGTTTACTAATCAGCATTGTTTGGATCCTTTTCGAGAAAGGGAAATTTGGATCTCTTGGATTCAATACGTTGCCATGCGGACGGTTGATATAATGCCGCGGTTGGAAACGTGGGGTCATATAATTGATGACGGTTGATGTCGGCCTTGGATATACGACCCACACGGGACCAGTTCATCGAAAGATGCTGGACCCAGACTGGAAAAGGGTAATACAAAAGCAGGCTTGACATAGAAAATCATTTCAAATATATTTTCCATATCGGTTTACTAGGAAATTGCATTCACATTTTCAATAAAATAATAATATTAATTCCATCTTAATTTATATATTGCTTTTTTATTCTCTGAAATTTAGAGAAAATGAATTAACTTTTGGAAAAAGTAATAATGTTAAAGTATTTAGAACTTCAAATAAAAAAAAAGACGAATATATAAATTACTTATTTTATTTCTTTTTCATCCAAAATTTTTTGAACTACAAAATTATAAGATTTAGTTAAGTAAGAGACTTAATTTATTCTAAAAATTATTTTTAATTATTATTAAATTAAAATTTAATTATTTGTATTCTAATTCAATTATATATTTTACATATTGACTTTGAAATAAATGTATTAAGTTAAATAAATTAATTACTATTAGTTTGGAAAAAAATGATTTAGTGATAAAAAATTGATTTAAAACAAAAAAAAATGAAAAGGGCAAAAAATGGAAAAAGGAGAAAAAAATGAAGGCATTTTTTTTGTTTAAAGTAAGTTTTGAACAAATATGAGTTCGGCTAATTGAATCTTAGCACCAATTAATTTTTCAAGAGAGATGAGTGGTTTTCTAAACTAATGGGGTAAAACTTCATTGATGACAATAATTTTCATAATTGAACCATATATATTTAATATATAATTCAATCATAATTGAGGTTAATTATTAATTTAATAGTAATTAAAGATGATTGATTTTAAAATTAATTAATATTTTCAATCCTAATTATAACTAACTAAACCTCTCAATTTTATAATTATAAACAGAAAACCTTGAAAAAAAAAAAGAAGAGAGAGAAAAATGTAATCCCTTCTCAATTAAAAAAAAAAAAAAACCCACCTAAGATCAACATCACAATAACATTATGGAGCTTAACGGATGAGGATGCCTAGTCATTACCCTGGCCCTCGGGAGTTGGGATAAATGCAGGACCCATCGCTGGACACCATGTGGCCGGATGACTGATCTATTTACTATTTCAAACTGCAGGCTGTACTTTTGTTTTTTTTTTTTTTGAATTTTCCAGGAAAAGACATTTGGATGAAGAAAAACAGAATAGAGAAGCTGGAAGCAAAACTGAGACGAATAAAGTCGTATAGCAATTAACAAGCCTCTGGTGTTAAAGGGGAAAGAAAAGGGTCTGATCAAGACCAAGTATTACAAAGTTAAACTGTAGCTATAGCACCACAAAGTGAAGAAGAATGTTAAGGAATTTCACCCACGAGGCAAGAATAACAATGGGTAGTACGAGTGAGTAAAAAAATAGCTGCATTTCTGACAAAAGAATAACAAATATTCTAGGCACTCTCTCTCCACAAACTACAACACTAAACTATACTCGCTATTTATACAGCACAAAGAGCTTTACCTCTGGAAAAGTGGGGAAGTTAAAGCTGGTAAATTTGAAGTTTCCCCCCCGAACTAAAAACAAGTGGGAGCGTAAAAAGCTTAATTACAATCGTAAATGAAGCTGAAGCAGGCAATTAAGAATCCATCAAAATGCCCTCTCCCTCCCTGCTGAGCTCATATTCTGTCTTACAAGAATCTCCATAGAGCAATAAGAAATCTACCCAATCAACTTGAACAGATAGCCTCATGCTCAAACCTGCAAAATTTGATCCAATACTCTTAATAACAAATTCAGAATTACCTACAACATTAGTCCTTGTTCACTGTTTAGTAAAAATGTCCAAAGAAAATCATTAGCAAGCAATTCAAATGAATGGCCTAGTTTGCCACGGGCTCATATGTCTTCAAAGGGCATTGCATGGAAACAGCTTCAGAAAGCACCCAAGGTTATTCGCCGAAACCCCCTACTTCTAAGCCATGACAATGTCCTGTAAAACTATGCTTTTTCACAGGCAACAGGCTAATGCCCAAGAAACATTAAAGCCACTGACATTCTACAAGAAACCTGAGGTCAAGGCTATACAAATAGAAGGCCGAAGTGATACACAATAACAAAAACAAGCTGTAAGATTTTAGACTTATTGTTGCTTAAAGTTTATTAATATTTAGATCAACAACTAAGGGTACTCTCCTTTATTTTTAGCTCAGTTCCCAAGAACACAGGATTCGTTACTTTGATGCATAAAAAATTGCAAGAACTTCACCAACTCCCATGCCTATCTGCCTGATAGCTATTTTGCCTGTCGTATAGAAACTTCTTATAATGACAGGAGAATAGACAGGTTATGAATTTAATTTTATTGTATGTATCCAGTCTGGCAATGAACTGAGCATAATTGGAGGAGTATAAATACATCTCCATCTAGTGATGGTTTGGGACTCTGAACTTCAACAAACTGTTATAAACATGAACCCTACTACAAATTAAAAGCTTTGAAGTACAAAGTACCTCTCTCAAGATGGAATGAACTCAGCAATCTCAATATTAAAAATATTACCCACTCTGTTATACTTGATTTTGTTTTTGAGTATTTACACCACAAAAAAGGTATCTCTATGGACAATATAGGGATTGACAGAAGTTATTTCTCAGGTAGAGATAAAGTAACATTAAATGGGTAGAGACAAACTAACACACTAAAAAGAAGACAGTGCACCCAAATTGGAACATACCAGAGAGACAAGGCACATGATTGTGGTTTAGAGACCTTATATTAATGACAAATATGTGCAGTAGGCCTTCAAGGTTTATTAGCAAAAGGGTACAAAACCTTTAGAACCCATCACAAGAAAGAACTAAAACTCTATAAACTCTATAATCTGCAGCCTGGAATACAAATCATAATTTACAGACAACTTTCATATGCCCAACTAACAGAGCTTAGGATACCGCATGAGCCAACCTAACCCATATTTATTCCAATAAATGCAGCTAAGAAGATGACTATGAACCAATCCCAAGGCCAAAAAAAAAGAGGAAAAAAGAATGGCCTCCACGATTGCAGAAGCATGAAGATTTCAAAGTCCACAAAATCAGAAAAAACTTGCTGAAAAAAACAAATGATGAAGCCCATGGAATCTAGTATGCACTATAACACAAAAAATCAGCCATCAATTAGAAACAGACAATCGAGCACCATTCAAGTCTTAAAAGAAAATTTTGCACAAGCAAACCACAAATAGGTAATCATAAAAACCATTCACTGTTTCTCATTTTGAAATAATAAATAAAATCTTCCTGGAAAAGGAAAAAGTGAACATATTTAAAAAGTATTATGCAAAAGTATAACTCTACTCACTGGTCAAAGAACCCATTAGCGTTTGAACTAGTAAATAAGGAAATAATCAGGCATCAAAATAATATATCCCTGGGCCAAAGAAACGCATAAACCAGATTGGTAAGTGCTGATAGATTACCTCAAATTACGAATCACTAGATTTTTTTCCTGTAACAATCTGGAAGATCCGTAGACCCCTGCTAAACGCCTCATTAAATAAGATCCTAGTCTGCATTGACTGAAATCCAGGCATCCATGACAAAAATGCCATGGGGGCCATAACAATAACTCCAAATAGTATATCATAGAGCCGAGCCACAGAAACCACAGAATCCCAGAGCCTGGTAGATTGCAGAAAGGGGCGAAGGACTTGGGCAATCAATATTAGTCCCCAGCCAGTGGGAATAAAAGCCAATAAACTGGTGAAAATGTCGATAAATTTAAAGTCTGTGAACTCTAGCAGTGCAATTATAACAAGTATTGCAATAATGATGACCAGGAATTGAACCAGCCGAAAATATATATGTTCCTTCGCTGCATATTTGTCCCGAGCATATGAGATTACCAGATAAATTCCAAATGCCACAAAAATGTAGATCCAAGACAGCAAGTAAACAGCAATACTGGTATTACCAGCAGCAATACCCAGCTGATATACAATCCCATATTGGAAAAAGAGGAATCGAAGGTCTAAAATTATTTCCAGTAGCTTTCCCCAGAGGCCAGTTGTCCGCAGATGATCCTGCTCCTCATACCACCATCTTTCCCAGCTCTGTTCAGCCTTTGCAAACACACCACCATGGTACCAAATCCAATTCATAAATTCATCAAAGTCATAAACAGTCTTTAGCCAATCAAAACCAGAAGGATTGAATACAAAAGGGGCCAAAATCCATGATAGGACAAGAAACCAACTTGAGATAGTCATAGCTATGTAAACAAATGTGTCCTTAGCTATAGGGCTGTGAGATGCATAAACTGTAAGTATGAGACCAAGCTCAATAGCCTTTATAAAATGGCTGCGTGCATACAGTCTGTAATTTTCTGCAAAACTCTTGTGTTGCACAACAAAACCACGGCCAGTTGCCCGATACTTTGCACCACCATGAAGGACAGTCCGGCCAAAGAAGTGGGTACGGGTTCCCATGGAGAATGTGTAGAAAACGGATGAAAGCTGAAGCTGCATTGTCATGAAATCCCATATTGCTTGAAGGAATCCATGCTCAAGAGAATTCTCCACTATCATTGGAAGGGCAGTGAAAAGACCAAGTTGGATGATGAACTGTTGATTTAAGATGGCACCAAGTGCTTTATTGTTGCTGCTGCTGTTAGACAGGGCAGATTTCTCCACACCACTAAGAGCTAGATAAAGTCGGCCCCAAAGAAATGCATATACAGTAAGAATGACCATCATTGTATTGAAAAAAAATCCCACAGTAGTATAAAAGAATGATAACATCCGGAAGAAGTCCAGTCTATGACCCAGCCTATAGACATCTCTGCTGAGAA